CTCTATCCTAGTCCTGTTAGATCTCTCAGCAGCTTTTGATACCATCGACCATGGTATCATGCTGCACCGGTTGGAGGGGCTAGGGGTGGGGGGCACCGTCCTACGGTGGTTCTCCTATCTCTCTGATGGTCGCAGTGTTGGCAGGGGGGTAGAGGTCGACTCCGAGGCGCCTTGTTTGTGGGGTGCCACAGGGATCGGTCCTCTCACCCCTCCTGTTCAACATTTATGTGAAGCCGCTGGGCGAGATCATCCGTGGTTTTGGGGTGGAGTTCCATCAGTACACTGACGATACTCAGCTGTAGATCTCCACCCCAGGCCATCCCAACGATGCCCTTGAAGTGATGTCCCGGTGCCTAGAGGCCGTGCGGGTTTGGATGGGGAGAAACAGGCTTCGACTCAACCCTTCCAAGACCGAGTGGCTGTGGCTTCTGGCATCCCGATATAGCCAGGTGGTGCCATCGCTGGCTATTGGGGGCGAGTTACTGGCCCCCACAGAGAGGGCTCATAACTTGGGCATCCTCCTGGATGCATGGCTGTCTTTAGAAGAGCATACGACAGCCGTGGCCAGGGGGGCTTTTTATCAAGTTCACCTGATTCGCCAGTTGCGTCCCTTTCTGGATCAAGACTCCTTACGCACAGTCACTCAGGCACTCATTGTGGCTCCGTTACCGGAGCCTGTGTCATCGTCAGGAGAGGACTCCGAGAGTGAAGGGGAAGAGTTGGCAAGGCCTCCCTCTCCAGGACCCTCCTCTCTGGCAATGCCTTCGGTGTCCGCCGAAGGGCAAGAGATAGGGCCAGGGCCAAGCACGTCCACGCAGCCACAGATGGAACAGTGATGAGGGTAATGAGTCTTGGCTGGACCCACACCAGCATCGCAGAGATAAGCGCGCGCAACAGAAGAAAGAGCGTGCCCGAGATTAGGCTGAGTCACTGGACCACACCCCACAGGATATAAAAGGGAGCGTGGTGGCCAGTCAAATCTTGTGACGAACAAAGCTAAAAGCTTCCACGCCATTCTGCATTGCCGGACTTTTGCTTTAAGACTTTGCTGGAAGTATCTCTGAACTTGATTTAATTCCGTAATTATTGAACTGCTTTCCTTTGATGTATTAGAAGTGGGGAGAAGTTATCTCTCCTCTTTGTAAATAATAAACTTTTGGCAGGCAGCCACTAGGTTGTTGCCAAGTTCCGTTATCATAAGGAAAAGGATTTTGCCGGCTGGTTTGGTCTTTAACTCCTGAACGTCTGTTGGTGTGTTTGCGTGGGGTTGGGGACAGAACACTCGTTATTTCCCGCCTGGACTACTGCAATGCCCTCTACATGGGGCTCCCCTTGAAGAGTACCTGGAGGCTCCAACTGGTGCTGAATGCGGCCACGCGGGGGATTATGGGAGCGATGGGGCACTCCCATGTGACACCCCTCCTGCGCAAGCTGTATTGGCTTCCGGTGGTCTTCCGGGTGCGCTTCAAGGTGTTGGTTACCACCTTTAAAGCGTTCCATGGCATTGGGCCGGGGTACTTACGGGACCACCTTCTGCCGCCGATAGCCTCCCACTGGCCAGTTCGCTCCCACAGAGAGGGACTCCTCAGGGTGCCATCAGCCAGGCAATGTCAGCTGGCGACCCTCAGAGGGAGGGCCTTCTCTGTGGCAGCACCTGCCCTCTGGAACGACCTGCCCCCGGAGATACGTAGGATACCAGATCTCCGTGCTTTTCGCCGTGTCCTCCAAACTTTTCTATTTCATCAAGCTGGGCTGGCGTAACACCCCCCTCCCCCTTAGATATTTTTAATTGTAAATGGATTTTAGTCAGGAAGTTTTAAATTTTGGGCCAAAATTTGTTTAATTCTTTTAAAATTTAAAATTTTGTATTGGGATGTTTTTATTCTTGGCTGTGCACCGCCCTGAGTCCAGCAGGAGAAGGGGGGTATAAAAATTTAGTAAAATAAATGAATAAAAATAAATAAATAGAAGCAGTAAAGCTGCAGTAAAGTTTTTACTGGCCCGATGCCCTTCCTGATGCCTATGCAGAGTTCTCAGCAGATAAATTCTCTTTGCTCTGATACAAAAACATCACTAACTAGGATCGAACTCTCAATCTCCTGAGTGTGACACAAACATCTTCACCTCTAGGCCACCACATCTCTCCGGGCATTACATGCTATACTAGAGAAAATTTTCAAATTTTACTTACATTTATGAAATGTTCAAGTAATTCACAAGCCAGGGACCTGATGCTGAGCATCAGTATTCTTTTCTTGCTGACAAATTCCCCTTAAATAATAATTAAAATGATTGTCAGGTAGATAGCAGATTATTCAATAAACTAATAGTTTCAGATTGACCTTTTTATGTAGCAAGTTTCAGAAATAGTAATTGAAATCAACTTTAAACGCAATGGGAAATTCAGAATTTGAAACTGAGATACAGTGCCACCTTGAGAAAGCTCCTTAGTTTCGATTTAAGAAAAAAAGTTCCATAATAAAGGAGACGGGTCTGCTTTTTCTGTATGTGTTTGTTAATAATTATTTTATTTTTAAACGCCCTTTGCTTTGAAGGGGGACCAGTAATGGCAGTTCTGTGAGTCTTCTTTTCTTAATGATCACCTGTTAGGGAAGGCCCAGATTGAATATATTTATGCTGTACTTCCAGTTTAGCTTTTATAAACTTCTGCAATCAAAAATGTTGATCATTCTGAAAAATCATAAACAGTTGGTTGCTCTTTGTTAAGTCTTCCAGCTGAGCCTGCAGGTGTTGAAGATAAAGTAACATTTATTCGTGTTATTGTTTTTACAAGTTGAAGTGCTTTGATTGCTTCATTGTCCCCATTGATAAAATGAAACTAAAACTACAGGCAAATTGCAGCTTATATTTGAAGGAAATTCAATAAATTTAGGTACTATGATATCTCATATTACATACTACTGTGGGCCAGAAGCAGAAAGACAACAGATCTGAATCAACTAATACATCTCTATGTGACTTTCAATATTCCTAGACAAAAACTTCTAAATTAGACAGCTGAAATTCAGTAAACTTGGAGAAAATCATGGACTTTATTAAAAATTGGTTCATATCTCTATACAAGACATACATTTCTGGACTGAGTATGTGGTCAAACATTCTTCTCCATTGGACAGTCCTTGCCTAGACTAAAATTTATTCACTTTGCTGTAGATCTAATTCCCGGGCTTTCCCCCCCCCCCCATCAGTCAGTATATGTAATTATTTTTCCTTTTGATAATAACAGCAATATATTTGATAACCACGGTCTGTTCGTTTCTATCCTATCCTGATTCTATTTAGTAATGGTGAGGGCCAATTGTGCCTTTCCCTCAACTCTTACTCTGACAATACTTAGCATACCTCAAAGGCCTAAGTACACGTTCACCTCTGAGCAATGAGTATCTGGAGAGAAAGGGGGCTCGAATTAATAAGCAGCCGGTCTGGAAATGGTTACCCTTCCTTCTTAGCTGCGGAATTCCATTTCTGACGTTGCTTTTCGCTATAGCGAGAACAGCCTTTTTAATCACCCTAATTATCTTCCTGTCCGTTGCTGCTCTCCATGGTGCTGAAATCGATTGTAACACAATAGAATTGTCCCCCTTTGTACCGCCCACCGCCTCTCACTGCAGCCTTTGAACAGGGTCTTCCCAGGAGCAGCCTTGAACTACCCTTAAGTGATAAGTGTAATTTATCTTTTTATTGCAGAAGTACTCGACGCAACAATATTTTTTTTATTCTGTGCAAATCATTTATTTTTTTTTTAAAAAAAACGATTTTATCCGGGGGGGGGGGGTAGGTAGGAGATCGAATGGTTAACCGAGAAGCTTAATGCGAAATCTGTCCCTGCGCGTCACACCGTGGGGTAGCATTGTTTTCTTATCGTTCGAGCAGGGACCTGAAGTTGCTCTGAAACTCTTTTATTTCTTTTTTTTTTCCAAACAGTGAATAAGGGGTCTATATGCCGGCAAATCTTTTTAACACTTTTAAAAATAGTATCTGTCTGGGGATGAAGCAGCACGTGGCTGATCATTTCTAACGCAGAGCAAAATGGTCGTTTCGGTGGGTAGTCAGCTATTTACTGCCTATTACTCTCTGACGAGGGGGCGGGCGGGTGGGGGGTAAGTTATTCTACGGAAGTCCTTCAATAAAGGACAGACTTGAGACTTCAGGGACGCTGCCTGATTCTCCTCTTCAGCCTTTCCTAATGCAACTTCTCTTGTCCTCCTCCCCTGAGTAGGTGTCACGATGCTCTACCCCGTTCCCCCTTGGAGAAGTATTTATATTCATCTGATATTACCAGGCTCCAAACTAAAAAAAAAAAAACCAAAACATAAATTGGCAATACGGAAGAGCATTTCTTAAATTCGGTATGATCTTTTCCTGTCCCTTTGGCAAAGAAAAAGGAAAAAAAAAAAGGAGCAGTTAAGAAATGCAAATTTAATGCGTGTGGTTAAAACCGAGTCCAAACGATTAAGTGTCCTATTTTTGTCAGCAGACGCCGGGGAACATCTCATTTTTAATTCGCTGCCGCCACCTAGTGGCGACATGGCGTTCGGTGTTCCGACTTCGCCAAACCTAGACGCGCCTTCACAGAAAAAGGACCGCGGTTTCTCCTTAAAACGATTCTTTCATCATATAAATAGCCACTCGTGAGATTTTGATCCGAGAAAGACCAGGAGAACCCTAAAAGTAGGATTTTAGGATTTTATTTTATTTTTTTGAAGAACGGGACTTATAATAAAAGCTGATGACCAGAATACGACAACGCTCTTTCTATACAAACGCTTATATTGCAAGAAGAAAAGATGCAATCTGGACTGAATTCCTAAGAACGAGGTTTAGTCTGAATAACAGGGAAGGAGAGGTTTCCTAAAAATGCACTCGGTTATTTGCAAGCTGAACCCCACCCCCCACCCCCCACCCCCGCCCCAGTCGTGATCAAGCTCCGAATGAGTTCAAAACAGCCATCACGTGCACTGCCCCTACGGTCCTCCTTTCCGAAAGCCAGAACACCTGCAAGTCAATCCCATTAGCTTGATAACGCGCGTGATTCAACCACCCCACCACCCCCGTTAACATCCTCACGCCTTTCCTCCCCCTCCGCTGGGATGGAAGGAGCGCGGTGACTTATGTCAGCGTTGCCACAAATCTCAGACGAAGCTTCCCGCTTTTAAAAAGCAAAGCCCAGGCAGGCAACTTGGCAGCCCGGGAGGGAAGGGAGGTCAGTTCGAATTAAATTCCAGAGCGCCATTGATATTCCGCCGACGTTTGTGGGGGAAGCTTATAAGGGGCCAAGCCTCCTTCTAAAATCTCGGATTTTTTTTCCCGATCCGATGCGTTTTGGACTCTCGGAGTTGGTTCTCGCGTCCTCTGTCTCTCATTGGTAAGTATTTGCGATTTGTTTTTGTTTTTTCGTATTTCTTTTATTGCCACCTCCACCCCACCTCGATTTTCTCGTTCAGTTTGGGATTGGAGACCGTTCTCTCTCAGTAACGGTGAATAAATTCGAATAAAGGCTATTTGGGGAATATTTGGGAGCGGATGGCGTTGACCATACATAACCTGTTACTTCAACCTCCCAAGCTCGGCTCGGGGAACCCGTCATTCTCGGCTCCCGGAGTTCAAGAATTGAGGTCGTGGGGGGGGGGGGGGTGCGCCAGTATTCGATTCGGTAGGCGAATTTAGAAGCAAAAGTCCTTATATTTTGCAAGAATGAACGCTTGAACAAAAACTTTTGTGTTTAAAAGGGCAACCCTGACAGAGGTTGTTTCCATCGGCGGGGGAAAAAAATATTTCGTACATTTGCTGCCAGCTTGATTGTGTGTGTTTTATGTTTAATTAACGTGGCGAAACGACTCTTGAGACGCCCCAGTGGTGGCGGCGTCCTTAGGAAGAAAAGGAGACGAATGGGTTGATCAGTTTGCCCCCATCCAGAAATCTTGGAACCCGGAGGCGGAATGAAAAATCCTGGCAGAGCCACGGAAAGGCCGAGCAGCTCTCTTCCAACCCAACACCGGATTGAATTTATGAAATTACAAAAGCCGAATGTTGACCATTTTGAGGGCATTGATCCCGAAGGGCGAGTAGTTATTCCCTGCTCTGTGGCGCACCTTTTCTTTGCCTTCCCAATGCATTGGGGGGTATTTCGCGGCTGCAAATTGCTGTGCCGGCCGAATACGTTAGGTTTACCGGCTTCTTTTATCCGCATTGGGGTTTTTTTTTGTTCCCCCATAACTAAGCAAACGACAATGCTTTCTATATTATTTCATCTGAAACGGAAATAAAATTGGAGGGAAGGAGGTATCTGTGCCGCAAAAATCGCGTACCTAGGAGTGTAGGTCTATCAAAATATTATCCTCTCTCTCTCTCTCTCTCTCTCTCTCTCTCCCTCTCTCTCTCTGTGTGTGTGTGTGTGTGTGTGTGTGTGTGTGTGTCTGTCTGTTCTGAGCATGCTTACTAGAAGTTGGTTTCCCATTTGGCGTGAATCATAATTAGCCTCCTCATCGGCCTTTAATAGAGCTGCCCTAGACGTTCCGGTCAGCTGAATCCATCCTTCTCTTCCACCGCCGGCGACACGCCAGTTTATTTCCCATCCCTGCCAGGAGCCAAAGGAATGGCTTTTTCAGTTCCTGAGCCCCGTCCAGACAGCTTCCCTCTCGCCGCGCTTAGCAGCCAGCGCTGTCTCTTCTGAAATCCGACTTAGGTGTCGTCACCTCCAGCCATTTCTCCCTCCAAATCGCTTTGTCTGAGAGCAAGATCTGCGCGGCCGTTGCGGGGCTTCGGGGAAGGTTTTTGGTGGGAATCGGGACTCCTTATTCGTGTTGTGTATCCACACCTTCCTTTTGTGCAGGCTTCTCTCTGCACACATACCCACCCGCACAGGCGCACCGTCCCCACCCACCCCTCCTCCGACAACCGCTACTTCCCGAGGAGTTGAATAGCTTATTGTTGGCTGCAGGCTCGTTTTCTGGATCGCCCCCCCGGTTCCCCCGAAGAAAGAGGGAGAGGGAGACAACCATCAGACTCTTCCGAGGAACAGGTTTCTAAACCCGTTTTTCTCTTCCATTGCAGCCCGTCCTTTTTGGGGGAGTCGGAGAAAGCCCGAAAGAAGACTCCTGGGACCCAAGGGCTGGACCTCTGGACCTCATGGCCACCTCGGATCCCTCCTCCTCCAACACCGCTCAGGATCCCAACCCAACTAATTTACGACCCACAAGTAGGTCTCGGGTTTTCGTTTTGCAAACCTCGGCCGTGCATGCCTCTTCCTTTCAAGCAGGGTCTTTGAGAAAAACAGTGGAGACGCACGAACCCCGCTTCCACCACCCCCCGCCCAAAAAAGACCAACATGGAAGCCTTCTTGGATCCCCCTCCTCTCCCTCCGCTAAAACCGAGAGGAGGTCGAAAACGAGCTTGTGGGGATTGGGGTGGGTGGGTAATGCGTGGTTTTCTTTCCGCTTGAAAACAAAGAAACCTGATGCTGTTCCTAACGAAAGGCGAAGGGGAAGGTGGAATATCTGGTCTCGCCGCCACCTCCCACCCACACCCCCCGCCATTGACTTGATATTAGAGGAAAGGGCGGGAGGTTCTGCAAACGCTCATGGCCCTTTGTGGACGCCTCGGGTCTCAAAGCGTCCTTCCCCGTTTCTTCCGTTTCGGCAGCCCTTCCCGAGGGCGCCCGGAAAGGCAGGTCAGGGCAGAATTGCTCCCTGCCCTGAATTGGAGGGGAGATCGGCAGGTGCCAGTGACAAGCGAGTGATGCTGCAGGTGGCGGGAAGGAAGGAAGGAAGGAAGGAAGGAAGGAAGGAAGGAAGGAAGGAAGGAAGGAAGGAAGGAAGGAAGGAAGGAAGGAAGGAAGGAAGGAAGGAAGGAGCTACTCCATAATTGACTATAATTCAATTATCGAATTATAGCGCGTTCAGACAGCCACCCAGCTCCCATAGAAGAAACCGAGCTGGAATCAGGCTGCTTGACATGATCGCCGGAGACAAAGCGAGGGGGAGGGTGCTCGAATGGGAAGGAAACGAAGCCTGGCGAACCCCGCCAAGCAGGGAATGGCGTTTGCCCTAGAAGGGCTCTCGGGGTTATGAAGCATGAACGCCCAGACGTGGCTGTGAATAGCAGCGGCAATTGCAAGGGGGAAAAAATGGGACGGGGTGGGAAGGAGGCGGAGGTGGCAACCAAAGAAAAATCGTTTCTTTACGGTGGACAAGACTTTCCTGTCTTTCCTCCCCTGCCTAACTCTTAAAATGGCCAAACGACACACGGGGTTAGGGATGCTCCTTCGTATTGCGCGTTGCTTGGCTCTCTTCCTGGACTTGACAAAAGGAAGAGGGGTGTGTGTGTGTGTGTGTGTGTGCTTCCGTGTTCCCCTCGGCAAGACTGCCCGCCGCCTTCCCGCCATTCAAAGGAATGCGCCTCCTGCCAGGCGCCCCCGGCTGGCAATTGTGCCGGGCGTGCAATTCCTGCCAGCCAATTCCCTCTATTGTTTCCCGACGGCTCTGCTGCCTCCGAGGTCCGGTGGGGAAGGCGCGTGGAGGGTGCCGCCCGACCCCGGGGGTTATTTCATTGCCCTCCTCTCCTTGACGTGCTCCCACCTCGCCTCTCTGGCTGCCTCGGGCGGGGAGCGAGGCTGTTTTCGAGTCCTGTCAGAGCTGTTTTCATCTCCTGCCATTCTTTTGCCCACGTTTCCCTTTGGCTCCCCTCCCCCGCCCCCGTTTCGCCCCTCCCGGTGTCCTTCTTGGCCATTCCAGGCTCCTCTTTTATTGAGGCAGCTCACACACACACACACACACCCATTGCCTTAGGTCCTTGACAGCCCCTCCACCCCTTCCCAGCTCTCTTCCTCAGCAACCCTCGTTTGTCTATCGCGGTTCAGTGTCATCTCTGCTACATCACCCAACTGTCCGATTTGGGTATGGGTTCCCCGCCCACCTCCCACCCACCCCATTTCCGTTTCTCTCCGGCTTGGCTTGTTTCCTTCGCCTTTCCTTTTTCCTCTCTATTTTTCTACCCTCTCTCCAGTTTTCAGAAGACCTCCCTCTTCCAGCCACACTCTTTTTCTGCAAGCCGTCCATTGTCTAGATCAGTCTGCCCAAAGATGATGCCTCCTTGATGAAGTTCAGTTCCCAGCCTGGGAATCCTGATGTTGGAGTCCAGTGCATTTGGCGGGCACCAGGTTGGAGAAGGCTGCAACAGGCGGCTCTTTGTCTTTGCCCATCCGGTGCTGCCCCTATAGGTGATCCAAAGAACAAGAAAAGCTTCTCGGCATTGAAAGCAAAAGCGGGGACTGAAGGCAGAGGGTGGGTGGAGCCAAAGTCCAGGACCTTCCCTTCAGAGCTCCGCCCCTTTCTGCTCAGTTCCCAAGAAGCAATAAGGGGAAGTGATCTTTTGGTCCTTGGGCTGTTCCTATTTTCTTAATTGCTATTTTAAAATTGTGGAACCTGTCAGACTTACATAGAAATATGAGCCACAAAGTCTGTGAAGCCCTTCGAGACTAGGGTCGATTACGATTGTCAAAAGTATTCAGAATTTTTTCATGACGCCTTTGCAATATTGTTTTAAATGGGTCTTACCTTAAATTTATTTGGGGAATACTTCCCGATGTCGTGTAAAACCTATCTCGATCTCTCTTCAAATCTTAAGTGGTGTAATAAAATAGTACTATACATTTTAATCTCATCATTCGCTTCCTTTTAGGATCCTGGTTTGTGGTCCATATGACAACATCACAAATACTCATCTGAAAGCCAAATGGATTTAGTAAAAGTAACATCTCACTACCCTCATAGCCTTTTTATACTTTTATTTATCGGACAGTCTTTTGGTCCAATGGACCATAAGGCATCAGTAATCTTTTTTTCCCCTCATATCAGTTGCATGTCCTTTGCATATTTCTTTAATCCAGTTTTGGGTTATTTGCTTGTCATTCTCTTGTCATTTTTCCTTCGCTTCTTATTCCGGTACTCTGTGAGATATTGGAAAATTGAAAGCAGGAGGAGGCATCCATTCCTAGCAGAATAAGTCTTAATTTTTTCTGCTGGATAAGCTACACTTACTGTTGGGTATGGCCCACCTTCCTGACAAAGTCGTGATTCCCATTAAAAAAAAAAAAAAAGTGGGCTGCAAGAAGGTCATCAGCTCCTCCCCTGATTTCAGCACCTCCGGGAATGGACAGCGCGAGGCGCGCTGCGGGGGGGCGGGGGGGGGGGAAGAGGAAAGGGGGGGGGGGGGGGGGGGGCGAAGAGAGCAGGCCGGATGAAAGGAGGTGTCTCGAAAAAGGGGGAGCAAGCGGACGTGGGAGGCCTTTTAATGTGCCACCCTGACTCGTCAGTCGGCTGCAACCTAGTCATGCAAGTCTGATCATCTAGTCAAATACTATTGTTCACCCAATTAATTCTTGAACTCTTCCATGACCCCATTTCATGCTAGTTTATTTTAAGCTGCCACTTTCATGGAAGCCTGCCAGTAAATTATTAGGAGATCGGATCTCTCCCAGCTGCCTGTTTCTTCCTGATAGGACCTCTTTCGCCACTGAGCCTTGAAGTCACCAGACTCCCGCTTGTCCACACGCTTGTCCGTCAATCAAGTCTCCCCATCACCGCCTCCTCTCCGCTCTGCTTCCAGTATTGCTGAGCTTAAAGCGTTGTTAGCAAAGAAATAAACTAGAGAAAACCAAAACAGCTGCTCTCCCACACAAGTCACACCAAGCGCTGATGCCTTAGGTAGCCTCAATCCCAGGACACCGTATAAAAAGCTATTAGCGCTCCATTTATATGGATGGTTAAAATCGTCTTAATTCGCGGTGGAGGGGGGGATAGAGAAAGCTGAGATAAATTAGATTTGTATGCCACTGGTGCCCAATATATCAGCACTCAACCAAAAAAACCACAACACCTTGAATCATTAGACTTTTTTTCCCCACACCTAGTAGATCGCCTTTTTCTAAACATTCTGCTGATGTGTTGGTTTTGTGAAATCTCTCCTGTAGATTTGCTAATCTGCCAGATAGGAATTGCAATATAGCGGGTGAGGAGGTTCCCATCCGCTTCTGTAGGGAGTAATTTTTTGTTGTTTTTTTCTATTCCCTTTAGCTTATGACACCTGGTGTGGTGTAGCTCATGGCTGCACGAAGAAAATCGGGCTCAAGATATGCGGTAAGTGAAAAGAGGCAAAAATAAATAAATAAATAAATAATCACACTTCGCTCAGCCGACTCCCTCTCACCCACGCCCACCTACACACAAAAAGACACGCCGCTTCCTCCCTTATGCATTGTCTTGAGTCTGTAATCACTCCCCCAGCTGTTAATCTTTCATTTAAAAAAAAAAAAAATTCCGGGAGGCCTGAAGGAACTAGGTTGGTTGGCAAGGAAAGTAGGCTACCTTCTTTTATCTTCAGACAAGGCAGAGGCGGGATGGAGCTGCCAAGAGGTGCTCCTCCTTCCTCCTCCCACGGAGAAGTTTAACAAGGCAGCCGCTAGCTAAATTCTTCTTTTAGAAGAGAAGTGGGGGGGGGGCGGTGGGGAATAGGAGGAGAATCCCATTTGCTTTTTCCTCCTGGGTCGGAATCGGGCGCTGGGATGTAGACTCTTGCGCCACCTACTGGTCAACGTGAGCAAAAAATGCAGATACGGCGGGCGATTTTTTCCTGTAAAATCGTTTCGCGGCAGTGCAAAGGGGCTTTCATTGCAGCCAGAAAGCCGGGGGGAGGGGGGGAAAGAGAGGGTTTTTTTTTTAGGAACTGAAGTTGTACCGGTCGCAAGGGGGAGGTAGATGGCCAGGAAGTCAGGGGAGCGGGGGTTGCTTATGCGCAGCAAAAATGTGAATATATTTTATTTATTGTTTATTTATTGGTTCGATTTATATGCCGCCCTTCTCCGGAGACTCAGGGCCGCTTACAATGCGTTAAGCAATAGCCTTCATACTTTTGTATATACCTGCTTAGTAGGGCTTTCGGCCCCCGCAAGCAGTGTTCTTTTTTTATACAAAGTCAGTTTATTGCCCCCACAATCTGGGTCCTCATTTTACCTACCTCGGAAGGATGGAAGGCCGAGTCAACCTTGAGCCTGGTGAGATTCGAACTTGCAGTAATTGCAGGCAGCTGGTGCTACTTAACAGCACTTTAGTCTGCTGCGCCACCAAGGCTCTTTGCGGAGAGAAAAGGGCCGGGAGAAACAAGTGGTGGAAAACTGGGTTGCAGGCAGAAAGGGGTGTGTTGCACGCCTTAGGTGTGCGAGTAGCTGCCCTGCGAGTTTGGGGTTTTTACAGAGGTGGATATTTTTCCAGGAGACAATCCCGGCTCCCTTTGCTCGTTTTTCATCGCAGCCCCCAAGGTCCGGTTCCCACCAAGAAGCCTCCGATGGCCATCCGCGAAGTGGGAAGGGGGGGGTTGTGGCAGAGGCGGAGAGGGCTGGGAAGGGCCAGGGTGGTGGGGGTGGGGCTCTGGCGCAGCTCTCTGGGCTGCAACGTTTTCCACCTTATCGGCCGGGAAAATGCAGACCTCCTGAGGGAGGAAGATTAACGAGGGCCTGATTAAAGAGCCATTCGTCAGGCTGCTGCGCCTGGAGATAGGGCCTGGCCGCCCCGAAGGAAGGAACGGGAATGGAATAGATGGAGACCATCAGATTGCATCCGTTACCGCTGGAGATCCCTGGGAGGGTTGCGAGGCATCTGCCTGGGTCTACGTTTCGCTCTAAGGCAGTGTTTCTCAACCTTGGAAGCTTGAAGATGGGTGGACTTCAACTCCCAGAATCCCCCAGCCAGCGCTGCTGGCTGGGGGATTCTGGGAGTTGTAGTCCACCCATCTTCAACCTACCAAGGTTGAGAACACACTGCTCTAAAGCCTCCTTCCTGTCAGCGCAAAGGAGGGGAGGCCAACGAGGGAGACCCCAGTTTTCCTCATTGAACAATGTAAATTACAAAGCTTCCCCGGTATCTGGTGGGAATTCAACCTCACTGCATTCTGTGGAGCCAAACTCACCTAACGGCGGTTCTACATCTGGCTATTTACATAAATTTGCCTGCTGGCTTGGGCATTATTTGTCTCTGGGCAAACCAAGAGGTTTAAGACTCCCTAAGCACGAGCATCGCTCTCAAGATCTGGTTCTAGAGGGTTAGAAAACGGGAGAAGAAACCCACGGAGCTCATTTGGGAATCCGGAACCATCGGTCAAAGTTGCCTTGGGGTGTCCTTCAGCCTCTACTTCTTTCATGAATAGCCCTTTGTAGATTTTACACCGTTTTCCTGCAGGCCCTTCAACGGCTAGAGGGTTCCCCCCACCCCACCCCGGCCAGCATTTTTCCATATTTTAATCCAGCTCGGCAGAAGAAGATAAAGGGAGACTCCATTGATCCGGCTGATTCGGATTGCTACTCTACAAGAGTTTCTAAAGCAGTAGTCCCTTCTCCGAGCCAAAGAAGGTGGGGTCCCACTTCGGCGCGCACTGCCTGCTTGGGCATCTGGATAGAAAGAATACAAGTGCCGTCGAGGCGGCATCGGTGGCGGAGGCACCAAGAAGCTTCTTGCAATCCGGATTATATATACCCGTCTCGACAGCCGGATGCCCAGCTCATCTGAGCTGTGAAGGGTGAATGCCTCTCCAGGCAAATGAAGGTGGCGCTTCTGGGGAGCGATCTGGCGCAAGGGGTCTCGAAGCGAGGCGGGGCGCAATTGGCTTGTTTGTCGCAAGAAAGCTGGGCGACCGTCCCCGGCGGAAAATGGCCAGTTCTCACGACCCACCCACCCAAAAAAGTCGTGTTTCTCAAGATTAAACAAGGGCGCCCACTCTTGTGCCTCTGCCACATCCACGGGCGGTTCTCGGGTGATTGGATTTGCTTGGTTGCTGGCCCTGCGGACGATTTCGAAAACTCGAGAGGAAGGGGACACCGATCAAATGCAGAAGAGAATTTATTTATTTATTTATTGGTTCGATTTATATGCTGCCCTTCTCCGGAGACTCAGGGCGGCTTACAGTGCGTTAAGCAATAGCCTTCATACTTTTGTATATACCTGCTTAGTAGGGCTTTTGCCCCCCCCCAAAAGCGGTGTTCTTTTTTTATACAAAGTCAGCTTATTGCCCCCACAATCCGGGTCCTCATTTTACCTACCTCAAAAGGATGGAAGGCTGAGTCAACCTTGAACCTGGTGAGATTTGAACTTGCAGTAATTGCAGGCAGCTGGTGTTACTTAACAGTGCTTTAGTCTGCTGCGCCACCAAGGCCCTTCGCCCTCGACATTGCAAATTGCCCACCTAAAGGCCTGCCTAAAACCTCAAGCAGCTGAGGTGCGGAGATGGATGCCTTTTAAGTGGGTTGAGTGAATCCGATCTGCCTTCGTCCCAAAACTCTCAAGTCAACATCGAAGGAGCGCGCCTTTCCAGCCCATTTGGTGGGCCGGAGAACCTGCCTGAAGGTCGGCGGGGACGGCGGCATCTCAAGGCCAGCGAGGAGCCAGGGCTGCTTTCACAAGGATGTTATTCAACCCTGAAGCCTGTGAGCTGCCCTCTCGGTCTTCGGCTTTGCAAAACTCAGACTCCAATTCTGAAGGCGCCTAGAACTGAATTCCATCGGTAAAGGCAATTCAGGGGCTACTACAAAAATCCGCACGGAGAAACCAAAACTGTTAGTTCAAGAAACACTCAACCCCGCTTTCTTTTCTTCCTTTTTCTTTTCTTCCTTCCTTTTGGAAGAGGGAGAGAGAGAGATGCTGTTCAGGAACCCGAGCGGGTGCTTAGCGCATCGTTTGTTTCTTAATTTACTGCAGTGATTGTTCCATATTTTTCCCTCTGTGATCTTCATCCGGTGTTAAAACGAATATTCGATGAACTCTAACGAACTTACCTAACTAGAATATTGCTCTTGTTCTGCAGCTTTCGGGTTATGTTTTGAAGTTATTTTCCGACCGAGTGATAACGTTATATAAAGAATGTCCGTCTTGAGAACTAGAAGCTTGGCAGATTATTGTTCTCTAGCAGGAAACGAGAGAGAGGGAGGGAGAGGGG